TAATCTCTCTCTCTGTGTGTCAAATAAATAAATAAAATCTTAAAAAAAAAAAAAGAATAAAACTATAACCTAGAACACCATATTCAGCAAACGATACTTGAAACATTAGTGTAAAATAAAGACATTTTCAGATGAACAAAATCTAATTAGTCACCAGCAGACTTACAAGAAGGAATAAAGAAGGAAATGATGTACATGTGAGAAAATACAGAAAACTAGTTTTGCTTAGTTTTCTTTTAATTTCTTTAAAAAACAAATGACTGTTAAAACAAAAATCACCTCATATTAAGGAGTTTATACATAGGTGGAAGAAGAACAGTAAAATAATTCAAAGGACTAAGAAAGGCGTAAACACAACTGTTGTTAAGGTTTTTACTTTCATGACACATGAATAATATGAAATCCATGTAAATCGTGCTGAGCTAAAGATGCATATTATAATTGAGAAACTCCTTGAAAAGTACAAAGAGGCTGTAGATAAAAAGTCAACGGACAAAAAAAATAAAATGAAGTGCTCTCAAATATTTAATGAACCCAAAGGGTAGCAGGAAAAGACAAAACAAAAAATGGATCAGAACAAATAGGGAACTAACTGCAAGATGACAGACTTAACTTCTATCATATCAAAAATTGTGTGAAATGAAAATGAACAAAATACTCTAATTAAAAAGTACAGATTCTCACAATTTGATTTAAAAAAAGCCTACGAGAGAGCTTTAAATATATAAACAAAGATGGGTTATAGACTGCATATATATATATATATATATATATTCATAAAAGGGATGGAAAAAAGATATGCCAAGTGTACATACTTAAATATCAAAGCTCCAAAATACATTTAGAAAAAACTGAAAAAACCAAAAGGATAAGGAGACAAATCTACAATCATATTTGGAGACTTTAACATCCTTGTCTCTTGGTAATAAACAAAACAAGTAGACCAAAACAAAATAAAACAAAACCGGATCTAAAAAATATGATCAACCAACTTGACCTACTTAATATTCGCAGAATACTACCACTAATATCTTACATGACAGTCTAAGATGTCAAATACTAACATGACGTTCTTTTTTTTTTTTTTTAAAGATTTTATTTATTTATTTGCGAGAGAGAGAGTATGAGAAGGAGGAGGGTCAGAGGGAGAAGCAGACTCCCTGCCAAGCAGGGGGCCTGATGTGGGACTCAATCCCGGGACTCCAGGATCATGACCCGAGCCGAAGGCAGTCATTCAACCAACTGAGCCACCCAGGCGCCCTAACATGACATTGTTTTCAAGTGCCCCTGAAGTGTATACTTAAAGATAGCGTAAAAATGGGCTATAAATCTCTTTAATTTCAAAAGACAAAAAATTCTTACAGTGGATATTCCCTGAGCTTAACAGAATTTTAAATTATAAATCAATAGCAATAAGATATCCAAGAAGCACAGAATACTTGGAAATTAAACATTCTGTTGATTTCTCTTTATATCCATTAATATTTGCTTTATGTATTTAGGTGCTCCAGTGTAAAGGTTTATTCTAAATAATACTCTAATAACATTCTAAACATCAAGAGATATTACAAGGGAAATTGAAAGTATTTTTTAACTCAATGACAATGAAAAACCAACCAAGCAAAAAATTGGCTCTTTGAAAAGATTAATAAAATTGGCAGACTTCTAACAAAACTCTTTCCACAGAAAGAAAGAAAGAAAGAAAGAAAGAAAAGAAGAAAGAAAGAAAGAAAGAAAGGAAGAAAGAAAGAAAGAAAGACAAGTAACAAAAGGAAAGAAAACAAAAATGACAACACCAGAAGTAAAAAAAGGAGGTATAACTACAGACCCTATAGACTATTATAAACGTTTTATAAGTAAGTATGGCAACTCAGTATATTTGTACAATAGAATATCCCTAAGCAAACTCCTTATACATAGAACAACATGGATAGATCTCACAGCTATTATCCTGTGGGTATAGGGAAAACAAACACAAAAGAGTACCTACTGTATAACTTAAAAACTGGTGAAGCCAATCTATGGTGATAAAATCAGAGCACTGATTGCAGCTGGGGCAGAAGTAAAAAGAGTAGAACTGAAAGCAAAGGGGCACAAAGGATATTTCATGGGATGATGGAAAATACACATTGCAAAAAGTCATCACACTGGACACTTAACACCTCAATGTATATAAATTTACCTCAATGAAGTTGATTTTTAAGGAATAAAATCAATAAAACTGCCAAAGTAGAGCTGTAACTTATATAAGTGTAAATTTAGTTCAAAATTTTAAAGCAATTCTTCAAAACAAACCTCATTTCTATTATATACCTTCTTAAGAGAATAGGAACCAGAAACTATGGGTCAGGAAGTATGCTGGATGCTTTCACTTATTATACCTTGCACAGACTGTGTATGCCTTTAACTCATTATAAGGTCAAGCACAGTGCCCTGGGAGACAGCGGTGTTACAGCTGAGAAAGCAATAAATAACTCTGGAGCCAGAAGGCCTGGGTTCAATAATGACTCTATGTGATCCATTAGCTTTGTGACCTTACAAAAGTCACCTTTTAAGTTTCTTCATCAACCACAGGGTTGATGTGAAGATTAAGGAATATTATTTTAAAGAATCTGGGAAAGCACACCACAAATACAAGTTTTATTACCCAGAGCAAGTACTCGACAGACACTGCTTAAGTGAAGAAATGCAAGAGATAAGCATGGACAGGGATACAAGTAGATAGAAGAATGGGGAGAGCATGTTCCTACTCACATTTTTCTTCTGCGGATGGATGGGGTGGAGGACAGAACAGGGGCTTCTTGGCATGATGACTTAATACCACGTTCCTATGATGAGCAGTAGGTGCAGAGAGGACGATAGGGTTGGCCGACCTCCCAGAATGAATATACTTTCACTGTGACCTGGATCACAGCACTCTAGGCTAACAATCCCTCGTCCCAGAGAGGAGCATGAAAAGGGAATTGCCCAGGTACTTAGGACACCAAGGGGCTTCGCCCAGGCTCATAAGAACTACAGCGAGGCTTCTGTTATTGCGGGACTTTGAAATGCCAACATAACAGAGGACCCGCTGTTTAATGTGTTTCATTCCTCCTTATCCTTAGGTTTTCAGAGATTATGCTTGAAATGAGACAACCAGAGCAGAGATCATCTGGATACAGGAGCAATGAGCAGAGCAATAGCTCTGTGAGTGCCTAGCAGGCTGATTTTCAGTACAGCTCCAGGGACTGATGCTCGGTCTGACAATACTCAAAAAGTACATGAGTCTAAAAATCTAGAGGGGGGAGTGCTCACTTCAGCAGCACGTATACTAAAAGTCTAGAGGGGGGACTACACTAGAGGCCCAGACTGAAGACCTGAGAAGTCATCTATCTTCACCCACATATGGAGCCACTAGTAAGGCACCTCGAAATTCAATACTTGATCGCACAATGGTGTGCTACGTCACCTGGCAGAGGTTGCAAAAGAATGCTGTGGGGGCACACAGAAGAGATATAGAACCAAGTGGTGAGGGGGGAAGCAGTATTGGGGAAATGGTCTTGAAAGAAGGGACACCTGTGCTGAAGTCAAAGAGGTGAAGGAATTACTCGGGCAAAAGGTATTCCAGACAGCGGGCGCAGCGTGTAGCAAGCCTTGAAAGGTCTGGATGGTGCCATCTGCAGAGAACTACGGGGAATTCCACAGAGCTGGAGCATATGGTGTGAAGGGAAAATGGGGAGGCACAGGCAGGGTGTTAAGAAGGACCTTTTCTTAAAATCAGGCTGAAGGAATTTACATTTTACCTTGATGATGAAGGGAAGCCACTGAGGGATATAAATATATTTTTTGAGTGGGCAGGCCAGGTGCTCCTTGGGGTGACCCTGACTCTCTGACAGTGATGGGAGTATGGGGGGTATAGGGAGTGGAGAGTGCAGCTTCCGGTGAAGACTGTGTGTGTGTTTTGTTTCTTGTTCATGGAAGTGAATTATATTTCCCTCACATCTTGCTGAAGAGAAGGTCGCTCCCTCCGTCACCTCTCTCCTCATAGGCCCTACACCTTCATATTTTCTTATGTTTTTAAAAGAATCATTTGGTGGCAAGATTACTTAAAGCCCACCTGCTTCTGAGGTGCCCTGCTGGCAAATATCAGCTCGAGTGGACAGATGCACAGGTATGTTCCCTTGTTTCCAACTGGGTCTGGAGGCAGTGTAAGCCACCAAAGGATTTTAAACAAGCAGGACCAAAACCCAATTAGCATTTTTAAGGGACCATTCTGGCAACAGTGTGGGAAACAGACTGGAAGGGGACAAAAGTGGAGACAGGGAGAGTAGCGAGGAGACTGAAGTGATCTGTGTGGGGTACGGCAATGGCCGGAGACGGCTGCATGCAGGATGGAGAGATGCGTTAGATACAGTAAAGAGGAGGTAGAGTTCTCTGGACTCGTTCACTGTTTACAGGAAGGTGAGGAAAAAAAGGAATCCAGCCTGACTCCCAGGTTTCAGGCTTGGATGTCTGAGTGGACAGGTCTGCTGTTCAAGGAGATGAAGAGGAAGTCAACCTGCTTTTGAAAGTATAAAAAGCAACAACACGGTGCTACCTTTAAAAAGAAAAATTAACACAAACAAAAGCACAGGCTGCCTGAGCCGGTACAGATGCACATCTCTGAGAAAAATCAAACACTTAAATTCACAGAGAGGAATAAGTCAGAGTTAAAGAAATTCCTGTCTAACATATGTTGATGAATGAATAATCAAAGAAGAAGAAGAAGGCAATTCGCTAACAAGAGAGCCATCTACTGCCTTACAAGGATAGTGCAGCGAGGAAATGCCACCAAAAAATGTGTGAGGAAGCCAAGTTTGTGACCAATGCACACTGCAGTGTATTCACAAAATAGCTGAGTCCTCCCACCCAAATTTCCAAGTGGTTAGCCCCTTTTCGCTAATAGCCAAATCTTTTAGCTTACTTATTTCTCCGAAAAACATCAATTCCATAGCTATCGTCATGTGAATATAAACACTTACCTGCCATCATTGCTATCATACTGGCTTTATAGACATTAGTAAGAGATCCAAGTTCTCCTGTTGCTAAGATGGTTTTCAGATGAGCCTCCCCACAGGCCTTGCGAAACTGACGGATCTCATCATACAGGGCTGGGGGAGGAAATAATTGAAGCAGTTACAAAGCAGGCAAGTGATAACATAACTTGGCAGCCATGTGCAGCTGGTAGAACCCATCTTGGATTTAGGAAACATAAAACATTTGTCACTTTCTAAAAATCACCCCAATTTAATATCGCCTAAAGCGTTCTGCCATTCGCATCCTGTTACAAGAAGTGCTTGGTTAGCTACCGTGGAACTTTCCACACCCCTGCCCAAGATCCAGAGCCACGCAGCTTTTTAAATATCAGTATAATGACATGCAAATGACAAATAATTTCTATCTCTCCCATATGTTGGTTACTTACAAGAAAAAAGACATTTATCTACCATATACGGGGGTGTACCACTTTGCAAACTAAAGGAAAAAAAAATCCTCAGGTCCTTATTAGTTCTTCCATTCACACATAGTAAGTTCTCTTGTGAGATTATAAAGCAGGCCCTTCCTGAGAGCTCTGCTAATGACAATAAAGATATAACCACCTTCCCCACGATCTGTCAGGGCATGTCTCTAAATATCTGACAAGAAAGCATTGAGCCCAGCCTGGTATGCTGGATGTACGTGCACAAAGCCAGTTGGAGAGAGACTCACAGGTGCAGTCTTGACTCTATTAACCTCTGAACCCAGTGGCAAATCTGGTTTTTGAGGGCTCCACATAGTACCCTGAAAGCAGCTTGGTTAAAAATACACATAAACAGGGGCACCTGGGTGGCTCAGTGGGTCAAGCCTCTGCCTTCAGCTCAGGTCTGGGATAGAGCCCCACATCGGGCTCTTTGCTCAGCAGGGAGTCTGCTTCCCCCTCTCCCTCTGCCTGCGTCTCTGCCTACTTATGATTTCTCTGTCAAATAAATAAATACAATCTTTAAAAAAAAAAAAAAAAACTCTGGTCATTTAAAAAAAATACACGTATACAAAAAAAAAAAATGAAAAACAACAAACCTACACTCAACAACAACAAAAGAATCAAGGGGGAAAACATTTCATATTCAAACAAAGTTGACAAACTTTTAGTAAACAAAATTCCTATGAGTATAAGATTTTTGAAAAACTACATAACACAGTCTTCTGTCATGATACCAGTGATTTTGGCTTTGGCCCTGCATCAGGCCAGCTGCTCTTACTCCTTGAACTTGGGCTACTACCACATTAACAGGACTATGGGGCTTTTTGCTCCTCCGCATATGCGTATATTTTGTAGGATATAAGCATATGGACAAAACCAAGCAGTAAAGAAACATTCATAATAAGGGTTAGGGATAGGGTAAGCAGTTTTCAATGCAGACATGAGACTTCCTGAATTCATAGGCTTCCTAAAGTACATGTAAAAGATTAAAAATTAGTTACAAGTCAGCAAATGCAGTCAAAACCATGAAAACTGTAATAAGGTGAAGAAAACCCGGCTTCCCAATCCTGGAAAACCTGAACGTAACTTGCAGCTCAAAGTGAAAATACAAATAAAAGCGAATATTCTTACAGGATGCTTGGTAAATTTTAGTGTTTATCACTGTCATGAGCTGGCACCCACAGAAAGTTTTTCAAGAAAGGACCGAGTATTTTCACAAATCCCTAATAATCAGTGGTTTGGAACATTAGAGATGATCTGAGATCCCACACTACCTACCTCACCCTGCCCATCCTCCAAAAATCGTGAGAAGTCATCTCATCCCTATATCCAATACGACAACATGTGTGGGAATGGTACAGACAGCAAAGACTAAGTGGCAATAGCAATTTATATTCTTTTAACTCAGGGAACGAATCTTGGATGGAATGACATTTCTCAAGTTACTGAATCTAAAAACAGAAAGTTGTTTGCTATGAACCAGTGACAAGGAAATCTCTTGATCTGAAAATTCAAGAATGCTAACCCAGAGTTAACTCGCGACTTAATTAATGATTTTTCTTGCACAGAACAGCGTTGCCATCAAAAGCAGGCTCGAGCGTCAGACAAATGCGGATTTAAAACCCAGCTCCATCCCCTCCCGCATGACCTTGGGCAAGTTAGTCTCTCAGCCTCAGTCCCCTCCTTGAAGTGTCAATAATAACACTTACTTTGTAGGGTTATTACGATAATTAAAAGGGAAGATATATACAAAATACTCTGACTGTAAGCGCTCAGAAAGTTAACCATGATATTTAAGCTCAGAATTCTAGTAAAGTGAGTTTCAAGTAAGTGTAATAAACACCAAATCTTATTCATGGCCTGACCCAAATTCCTCTTCTTCCTTTTTTTTTTTTTTAATTTCAGGTAGACTTTTATTTTTTTTTATAATTTTTTATTTTCTTATTAACATATAATGTTAGTTATATGTTAATATGTTAATAAAAAAATACAGGGCTACAGGTCTGTGAATCGCCAGGTTTATACACTTCACAGCACTCACCATAGCACATACCTTCCCCAATGTCCATAACCTCCTAACCCCCGGACCCAACTTCTTGTACCAAAATCTTGTTCTATGGATTAGCACTTACAACCAGTGTGTCATCATATAAGGCTCGACAATGTTTTATTACAACATTTGTTGAGGTGAAGCCTGATCTGTATAAAATTCTTAAAACAGTGATCCCGACCACATTTTTGAATGAAATTACCAGACTTTTTCTAAAGAGTATTACCTTTGATATCCGGCCAATTATTTCCCCTACCGTGAAAATAACCGCCCCCCCCCAAAAGAAAGAAAGAGGAAAAGAAAGAGAGATGTATTTTATGACTCAATCATCAGCCTCCTGGAAGTGATGCTCTGTAATCCATGATCCAAACTGGCCACTCAGATCATAACTGGATTTAAATGAATACATAACCCAGTGCTTCTCATTCTCTAACCGCCAACTCCTTAAATCATTTTACTGACCTATTTCACCACATAACAGGCTCCAGTTTTTCTGAGCAAGTACTTTAATCTTTAGGGTTCCACACTGGGAAGTTGGTCATTTTTTTTTTTTTCTGTTACTATTCTGCCTAGAATATGCCAGAGCAATTCAATCAAAGAGCATACCAAACCTGTCCTTCGTATAATGTGACCTGGGCTCCATCAAGCAAATGCTTCTACCTGGGCCTCTGGATCTTCCCAAGCAATGCAAAGGTGACAACGTAGGCAGGATGTTCCTTAGTGTTACTACTTAAGCATCACCAATGGCAGCACATCCAAGAGCCCCATGACCCAGGGCCACCTGCCAGCAGTGGCAGCACCAGAAGTGGCCCCAGAAGCCCTCTTCCCATGGCACATCTGGCTGTATTCTCTGCTTCCCAGTCTTTCATAGTCCTGCTGGTTTGCCAAGCCTGGTTCTCCAGACTTCTTTTCTTTTCTTTTTTTTTTTCCCAGTGTTCCAAGATTCATTGTTTATGCACAATAGTGCACTGCCCATCCTCCAAAAATCGTGAGAAGTCATCTCATCCATATATCCAATACGACAACATGTGTGGGAATGGTATAGACAGCAAAGACTAAGTGGCAATAGCAATTTATATTCTTTTATAAGTGCTCCATGCAATACATACCCTTCTTAATACCCACCACCAGGCTCACCCATCCCCCCAACGCCTCCCCTCTAAAACCCTCAGTTTGATTCCTGGAGTCCACGGTCTCTCATGGTTTGTCTCCCCCTCTGACTTCCCTCCCTTCACTTTTCCTTTTCTTCTCCTAATGTCCTCCATGTTATTCCTTATGCTCCACAAGTAAGTGAAACTGTATGATAATTGACTTTCTCTGCTTGACTTATTTCACTCAGCATAATCCCCTCCAGTCCCATGCAAAAGTTGGGTAGTCATCCTTTCTGATGGCTGTGTAATATTCCACTGTATATATGTCCAGGCTTCTTACCGACTCAGTGAGCTATACTCTATGTCCTCCCAACAGATGCCTTTTCCATTTAACTTAATCTGAATTGGTTTCATTAGTTTCCAACTCAGAATTTTAATATAAAAACTATTTACTGAGAAGTCTGCTAAAGTGTGGGACAACAGTATGGGTGCCCCACTACCTGGGTTCATACCACAGTGCCAAAACTCATTTGTTGTTTGATCTGGACAATTAACTCTTAAACTTTGTCTCTGACTCCTTTTCAATGAAATGGGGATGATAGAGATATGCACACCTCAAGGAGTTATTTGAAGCATTAAATAGGCTCATATGTATAAAGTGCTAAGGACAGTTTCTGGTACATAGGTTAATGCTCAAGGAATGTCAGCTACTAGTTTTCCTGCTGCTGGCCTTGGTGGTCATTACTGCTGAGTGCTTATTAGGTTCCAACAGAGAGGAACTTACAAAAGCAAGGGATACTGTGACTTACATTTCTTGAAGAACATAAACACAACCTCTTTGGAGCCTAGAAAGCAGGCTGGGGGAAAATGTTTACTACATCAAAAACATTTTTAACTTGGAGCCCATGCTCCCAGATTTCTGGGATAAGAGCTTTGCTATTTGCTAGTTACGTAAATTTATAGGAATCATTCAATTTTCCTAAGCCTGATCACTTAGAGAGCCTCAGTTTGCTCACATATTTTTGTGATAATTAGATACAATAATATATATGGCTAGAACAGAACAAGGCAGTTAGTAGGTATTAATCCTTCAATACTAGATTTCCAAACTTTTCCTTACATACTTCCCAGAAATGCAAAAGTAACTTTGAAAAACAAAACAGAACGAGCACTGTCTTAATACTCATGCAAGCATAATCAGAATTTACAAATTTAACATGTAAGGAAAATAGACTATTTCACTCCAGCACAAATCATGAAAGCCACAAATAAGCATTATTAGTGTCCAGGTAGTTTTAAGCACCTTGACATCACAATGATAGATGACATACGCAAATCCAAGTGACCCGATGGCTGAAATGTAACCTAGACAATCTCAGATCATCATGTCCTCTAACGTACTCAACTGTCACTTTCTTGCCGATATAGATGAGCAAAACAACAGAAAAACAAATGGATGGATTTTCCTCCACATCTGCAGGAAAGGACAGCAGCAGGATGTGGATTTAT